GTGTCCGTTTCTTGTACTTCTGTCGACAAGCTCTCATGTCATCAAAACTTGGCTTCTTTGGCTGTGAGAAAAAGATCCATTGAATATATCCAAAACTTTTAATGTCACGTGATGGAGGCTTGATTAGTCACTACTTCTGGCAATTGACGCCATGCCTTCAATAAAGGAATATCAACTATTGCAAGTACGAGACGAAGTGTTTACTATTATTTTAAACAAAAGCTCCTATTTTATTTTGTTTTATTTTTGTTTTCTTCTACAACTTATTAATTGGAATAGAAAAAAACAGGCAATGAAAAATTCAGTAAACATAAAAAAGAAAATGAAAACGAACAGTGGTGAAGAAAATAAAAGAAAGGTCAATTAACAAACACACATAGAACACAAACGCAGTCAATATTTGGCAGTTTTATTTTTATTTTATTTCCCCGTTCGTTTGAAAAGTCGTCGAATTTCGTTAGGAAAAAGACAAGTCCAGGGGGAGGGCGTGAGTGCCGAGTGGCAAGTCAAGGTTGAGGATATCATTAACATCGTTTTTCTTTCTTCGTTGCCTCCTCCCGTTAGTAGTGCTAATTTTCTATTATTCGTCCTCATTTCGTGGAAGCGAGGATGTGAAATTCGACCCTTTTTTACAATTTGTCGTAATACTGGAAACGAGAAGAAGAGAGCACGGTTAGCCAAGGACTTGTAAAAGAGATGCGGTGGGATATCAATAAAATGAAAAAGCCTATAACACTTACATTCTCAACACCAGGAACAATCTCCTTAATACCCTTCCTCTTCCGCATCTCGGTAACAACCTGTCCAGGCTTCGTGGTAACATCCAACGGAGACCCACCAGGCAAGATCTGCCAGTGATCGAAGACGGATTGCGGGAACGCTTGTCCACCAGTCGCACTGCGCAAGTCCGCAGGGAAGCCGAACGATTCGTTGACGGGCAGGTATGCTTTGACTGTGAACAGCGGGGTGCCCGGTCTTTGCTCTTCGAAGAACACGTGGCCACGGCGCCGAGTGAGGACGCCGTAGATGCCACCCATAGCCTGTTCGGGTACTTGGATCTCGACCAGGAAGACGGGTTCGAGAATTCCTGGTTCTGCGAGGAGAGTTGCTGCGTACAGGACACGGCGTGCGGTGGGGATGATCTGTCCACCGCCGCGGTGGATAGCGTCAGCATGTAAGGTGACATCGAGAATGTTGAAGCGGACGGAGCGCATTGGTTCGTCAGCAATGGGACCCTCGCGAGTTGCCCATTGGAAGCCGGAGACGACGGAGTCCTTGATTTCGTTGAGATATTGAACAGCTTTGGTTTGGTCGACGAGCAAGTTGGCGCCAGTGGTGTCGGGGCCGAAACACCAGATTTTGCGGGCGTCAGTGACGTCCCAGCCGTGCTCATCGGCGAGGATACGGGCACGGGCTTTGAAATCATCGCGCGGGCCGATCTTGCCGTTCTCGATGTCACGGGAGACATCCTCCTCTAAGGGCTGTGCGGTCATGTATAGACGGTTGTGTTTGTTGGGGGACTTGGAGAGAGCGGTTATGCTGGAGGTACTACCGACAGTCTCACGGTAGGAAACGACAGGGTCTTTATATATGTAGGGGAACACCGGCGTGGTCTTCTTCTAGATCGTGCAGGCAAATTTCCAAATGCAATTCACCAGCACCGGCGACGACGTGCTCACCAGACTCGGATATGTACGTCAGGACGCACGGATCAGACTTGGACAGACGTTTGAGACCTTCGACAAGCTTGGGCAAGTCGTTGGCATTCTTGACTTCGACGGAGCGCTGTACGACGGGGGAGACAGAGAATTTCATGACCTTGAGGTTGTGGGGCAGTCTCGGGAGGTGGTGAGGGTACCAGACTTGAGCAAGAACTGATCGACGCTCGACCAATCTCAAGAATGTTACCAGCAGGCACATCCTCAATTGGCTCGATGAAGCGGCCCATCATGAGAATGGTCCCGCTGGAATGCCCTTGATGAACAGATC